CATCTCCAACCACAACACCATTGCACCATTTTGCACCATTTTTTGGTGCAAAATTGCTCCAACCCAACACCAAACTTTGCACCATTTTGGTGCAAAATGGTGCAAGTGTAAAATGCCAATTTTGCCCTTATTTTACATTTCCCAAATAAATTTGTTGAGGGTATTTATGTAATTTGTGCTGTATATTTTTTAATATAATAAATTATTATTATTTTTATTAATATTAATAATTATTTGTGTTTAAAATAAATTTTAAATGTAAGACATAATAATTAATTAATTAATTAAAAGACGAAAATAATTTAAAATACATCAAACACGATTAATTAATTATTTATTTAGTAATTTATGTATTTCTGAAATAATTAAATAAATAATATTTCAACTAAGTAGATTATAAAGAATAAAAAAATGGAAGAAAATGGTTAAATACTGTTCATTTGGTGTAATTTTTGGTGTAATGGTTGGAGATGAATTTTAGTTTGGTGCAAAATTTGGTGCAAAATTTAGTGCAAAATGGTGCAAAATTTGGTGTTGGGTTGGAGATGGCCTTACTAGGTTTTGCTAAACATCCTTTTCGTCAAAGTTAGATATTTCATAATTTCTCATGATACTGACAATTATAATCGATTATTAATGACACTGTAGATGGTCCAAATCGACCACTCTAAAGTTGGGACTAGTAAATTAAATGTAGGAAGACGTCATGATGATGGAAAAGTGATGAATGCATTTTTTATTGTTATGAAATTCACAAAAATTTTACTTTGTTAACAATATTATAACTACTAATAGAAATAGTCACTAGTCTAGTCCAATGATCCCAAACATTATGTAGTCGAAACACGACCAGATCCCCTTAGACATCATTGGGGATTGTCAAGATTGACCACTTTGAAGTTGGCACTGGCAAGTCGAAAGACATAGACAACGACGAATAGAAGCAATCGGTAAATATATGATTTATTGCACTACAATATTCACTAGAATTTTGAATTTACTAAGACTAACATTACTACCAAAGGTTTAGTATAAATATTTATAATTTGAGCCCAATCATCCCAAATAGTATTTAATCGAACCCTCTTCAGATCCTTCAAGGCATCCATGCCTTGATATCATGCGGGATTATTGATTTCACAAAATTTTGAAATTTCAATTTTATACTTTTCTTTATAATTGAAATTTTTATTCCTCCCTTCTTTTGAACAGTGTGCACAGTATTTACCTTAAATGTTCAAATTTGAAATCACTAATTTATTTTCACGAGTCCCCTAATATTTCAGGTTTATAAATTCCATCAAAATCTAACATGTGTCACTGCTCAACTCGTCAACACTAGTGACAATCTCAAATATTTAGCCATTAGACCGCTTCTCGTTTCATGTCTCAAGTCACAACCCACTACCAATGTTATGTTATTTTGAAAAATTTACAACTTATATAGAAAATGTCTTGCTCCACCGCTATCCACGCTCTAGCTAGAATACACGCTTGCCAAACTAATTATCTATAATAAAAAAAAATACAACATTTGAACATATAATCTAGAAAATATGATTGTGCATGATGTTACTCAACCAGACAATGAATTATAAACCGTCTAATATGTTCTCAGTCTCACTATATGGCCAATTAGTATTATATCATAAAATGACACGATTATAAAGTATTAATGTCGTGTTGATCTTGACGACCTACAATACTAACGTATGTGAGGGTTCAAGATTCCTTGAGATACAGTAATAGGTTCTCGCACCGCAACATAGACATACGGTCCTTGTCCTAAGACTTTCTAGTACATCAACCTAGAAGTGCGAATGTGTTATTTGTTTTGCAATTAAAACACGACTATTTACTTCGTACAAGTGAGAGTTCGATAAGTTCTCGGAGTACTTTTGTTCAATTCTAGATCAACTTGTCATTCCAACAGCACTTTAGGCAAATCCAGGATTTTGTGGACTACTAAGGTTGGAACTATGATGGTAGGTTCCATTTTTATTCCTCAATAACACTACAATTGGTTATAAATAGTTTAACATTGCTAAAAAAAATCATCAATTATGGTCAAGTACCAAAAATAACCCTTATGGTTCGATCCTTGCCCACTAGAATGACTTGGAGTTCAAATGCTTCTGATCCCTTCTAATAATTTTGTTTGATGTAGATTTTTTTAAATGGATCCATATGATCTTGAGCACAAATAGTACAATCGAGTCTCTCGATCAAATCATATTGATGAGAAGAATTATCTTTTTCGACTAAACAAAAGAATAAATTACAAGTAAACATGCTCAAGTCATCAAAGTACTGTAAGAAAAACGCACACAACATATGCTAAAAGACTTGCATCAAAAACAGTCTTTAAACTATCTATATATCAAGCTTTGATCAAATGCTTCCCATGTCCTCCTCTTACACAAGTTTTCAGCATCTTCTTCAAGGACTTCTTAGGTGAATTCTTCTCTGCAGACGCCGTCTCCCCTCTGTGCTTCTCTGCCTCGAGCACTTCTTCTAATTGCAAACAAATCTGATAGCACAAAAACAATCAGATATTTTCATATGTTTCAAACTTTTAGTCAAGCGATTAACAAATAAGTAGTTTTGTTTCCTCGCGTTACCTTCAAGACACGGTCCTCCACGTGGACTAGTCTGTCGACGAGAGTACCCTTGCGTTCGACTTCCAATATCACTTCATTGATGGGCCGGCAGTGCTTCTCCAAGCTTTTTGGTGAGTAATCAACAGATGATGCCTGGCCGTCACTTGTGACGATTCCACTTGAGAAAGTGGATGCACACGAGCTCTTGGGAGAATGGTTAAGGCTCTTAATGTCTTCCAATTGTTTCAACTAAATTTCCCCATGATTAAAACTCAAGGAAGTATGCTACTCAAGCATCAGATGAATTAAAAAATTCACTCGAGAAACCAGAAATTGGCACAATATTGAAAACATAGAGATGTAAGAGTCGCTTGTGTTTCATAGGTATTTGTCAATTTTAGATAGTCTCTACTTCACAAACCATCAAAAGGAAATAAATACTGAATATGAAAAGTTATACAAAAATGACTATGAGAAACAATACAAATGGAATATCTATGTCTTTGACTCCAATTAGAGTTTTATAGTGACAAAGAAAAAATTCAATCTTGCGGTCTTTGTGCCTCATGTACTCTTAGTCGAGTAACATGTTACAAACCATTCTTGCTCCAATCTAACCTAACTTTCAATTTGTTGTTCACTAAGTTATGTGGGAACTTAACTCGTCTAGTAGAAGCCTGACTACTATTGAATATTTAACTCAATGCCTAATAGCTGAAACTTCTCATTCAAACTTTGTACTAAGAAAATTATACCAACTCATTTAATTCTCCTCCAAAAATTGTTCGTATAACCATGTCATCGATGCATTTGCGGTTATAAATACCATGCTTTGCACCCCTCGTTACAAATAAAAATTCTACCTAGTTCCCAAACTTCCATATAAAACCACTTGACACTAATATAAAAAAATTTCCCCCTTTCTACAAGGCGTGAATTTTTATTTTTATTTTTTTATACGGGACAGAGGAAGGTATCAATACTTCAATCCTTGACCTTAACAACAATCCTCAACCAACTATAACATGTTGAATTGTTCTTCTACCAGGCATGTTACGTCACAAAAAATTTCCAAATATTGGTAAACAATATTAATTGAATAGAATCCCAAATAACGAGAGGGTGTAAAAAGCAGATCAAGTAATCTTCTATAGAGGTCCATATTATTTCCTACATATTCCATTACTTCAAACAGTGTGATATTCTTTTCTATGAATTCTATCTTTTCAACATTTTGATCAAGACACTTATAATTAGCTTGACAAGAAGCTTAAAAACTAATATCAACCCACAAAAAATCTAATACTCAAAGTAATACCAAATTATCGAATCTCTTGTGCCTCTATGTACCATCCTATTTATCAAAAACTCAAGAAGAATTTATCATTTTCTTTTTCTAATTTTACTGTTCCATCCAAATTAAGAAGAAATCATAACTCATAGGGATGCTTAATTTATAGTCCTATAAATAAATACAGAAAAAAAAAATGAAAAAGACGATGAATTTACTTACAATGTTATCCAGTCGATTTAGTCTGGATAGAATTGGTTCTTCCATGGCAGCCATTTTCGTTTTTCCGTCCAATTAATCACGAAGAAACAGATAATTGCTGCAGGGATAGGTTGCTGATATACCTAACACTTGCACACTTTCCAAGATTTTATCTTTTATTTATTTTTCAAGACTATTTCATAAAGGGACATATACATGGGGATACGTGTTCATCAATGATTTATCTGTGGTCAATGATAGGAAAATTAAGGAGGATGATGATGCTGTGGTCTTGTGTTGCATTGACACGTAACAATGCCATAAGTTTTAGTAGATTATAATTAATTCAGTCAAGTTATATATATATATATATATATATATATATATATATATATATTGTTGAAAATTGATAGATATAATTTTCCTTTAAAAAAACTATTATATATTTTTGTTTTTAGTCATCTCCTATGCAAGTATGCTACTAGGCAGCGGGGGGCATGTTTGGCTACAATAAAGTATAAGTAAAAATTACATTTTTATTTCTAAATATATTTTAACACGTTCTATGAGTAACTCTTTTCTCCCCTTATGCGTAGTAAATTACATGGAGCATGTAAGTCTAACATACCAGTAAAAGTAAGTTTTTGGACGTCTGGAACGGGGACAAACAGGCTGCATGTCCATTCAAAAACAAATCATTGTCGATCGAAGGAGAAAAATAATTATCTTCGTGCACCAAAATGTTGTTTGTTATGAGCTACTCGCGTGATGTGGAAACGTATCGAATCAATAATGTTGCAATTCTTTGCTATAGTCTAAGTCATTAGTTCAAGGACTTCTAATCTCAATTTCCCTAAATCTCTCAACAATTGCTCTTATTTAGTGGGTAGTGCGTCGTCTTTATGCTAAGAGCATTTGTGATTACATTAGCTTTATCAAGATGGTAATAAAAGGTACAGTCATTATCTTATTCCTCATGTTTCACTCTTTATAGGTGAAGAAGTACTTCAGCAATTGTGCCTACCTCTATAGATGTAATTACACCGTATTTTTTCTTTGTAGAAACGTGTGTTTTTTTGCTTGCTTGCTAGCTTTAACAACGTGGAGAGCAAATTTAATTAGTACTAAAATAAAATAAAACACAATTCGGGATGGAGTTAGACTGGACCTCCATGGATGTTTGAGCCCATTCTTTTCATAAGAATAAATTTTTGAAGAGTGTATTGATGTGAAATGTGTATGTAATATTATTTTATTGAATAATGTGTGATTGAAATAATATCAAAATACTCTTTTTTTAAAAGAACGGGGCTTAAACAAGGGCTCGTGTGAATTTCTTCCGGACCTAGTCATACATGTAAATTGAGCTCACGAACTATGGACTCAACTCAAGAAAGGCACTCCATAATAAAACCTTTTATTTGGATGAAGGCCGAGAAATAACATATGAAGCAACAATATTTCACTTGTGCTGTGTCCATGATTAGAGTATAAACACAGTAATGAACCTAATTCATTACTGCAAAACCAACTTAATTCTCAATTGCATCAAGACAATGTGAGACGTGCTTACTAGTCACTTAATGCATTTGCACATCTTAATTGAAACATGCAGACAGTTGCATCATTTATTGGGAGTCAATTTTTTCTCAAGACCAAAATTATGTACTACTACAAACTCAGAAGGATTTTTGCCAAAATATACCATGGCTTTTATAAGTACTTCAACTAGAGTTACTTTTAACATAAATGAATAAACACAGATGTAGCTACTTACTTGACTGTAGCTAATGATTATTTTCATACAGCATAAGATGAAATCAATTAATGCAGGACACAGTAACACGGTTTGAAAATATGCTCTATGAATTGAATAAATCCATTACACGGATGAGAACTGTTGTTATAAATAACTTACAAGACTTGCCGAGTTGAACGAGCCTTGGGGGAGAAGAGACAAAATTCTGAAACAAAATTCAATTCTTCCACCACTCTCTTTAAGAACATAGAAAGTTTCTGTTTGTAATTACTTTTGTCACAACAAAAAAATTTAGCTATCAACTCTACAACAAATGTGAATTTCTCATGCACAAAAACATACAGCAAGATGGAGTAGATAGAACGTACAAGAATCACATGGCAACCTCCCGAACTTTGATTTCTTCAACGGTTCCAACATTAAACTTTCAAGTCTGAGGGATGTCGACTCTTAACAGTTAATTCCACACAGCTCAACATCTGGGCCAGTGACTCTAGTGGTGAATGGATCGACTCGCACCCATAACAATGAAAAGATGGAAGCAAGAAGAATTGCCCATACAATAACAATAGTTGGTGTCCGATTCTGACGGCCCATAAGACCTTTGAGGAAAGGATAGAGATGAACAATCACCCAGAAGGCAAAGAACAATTTTCCAAAGAGTGGACCCATGACTGGTAACCACTGTTGATAGCATAGGAGATTCCTGCAACAACACCCACCAAGTTTATGATGAGGAGAGTTGTGGGAGGTATTAGGAGCGTTGTCCATTTGAACATGTAGAGCTCAGCAAAATCCCCGTCTTCATCTGAGGCCTTCGATGTGACAGTGAAGTTAGTGTCAATTCCAGCAAGCACTTTGAGTAACCCTTCGAAGACAGCAAAAAGATGAGCTGAAACACCTCCAATCACTTATAACTGTTCATTCCTCCACCATTCGTCAATTCCCACACCACTCCATCTCATCTCCAGTATACCAGTAGCAAAGATGGAAAGAAAGAGGGATATAAACCATATACTCGCAAAATTACTTATCTGCAATACAATGTAATACTTAATGTGTGAAATCAGGTTTCTATCAATTTCATGTAAGTTGCTTAAGTCACAATTACAAAATTCTTGTTGACCTCCAAAAATGGCTCCAACAGGCACCCTAGCTTTGTCCTCTCGAAACCTGCGTATGTAACACCCGTCAAGAGGCAAAGGTGGCCGGATGAGAAAAAGTTCCGGCGACCGTTTGCACTCCGACGGTCAAGTCAACGGCCGGACGGAGATAGATACATAGAGTGCAATAGTAGAGAGATAGAGAATTTGGCTAGAGTATTTAGAACATACCTTAACTTGTGAATTGAATCCATATATATAGAGAAATAATGTGAAATGGGCTAAGGCGGGTTAATGGGCCTAAGTTCGAGCCCAGTATGAGGTGAGCAAAGTGATAGGCACTTCGGCTGGGCTTTTTATGGCCTCGGTGGTGCCTCGGCTAAGCTTCTTAGAGTCTCGGCTTTGAGGCCCAACACTAATGGGCCTGGCTCGGGTCCAATAAGGTGGCCCAATATGGAGTGATAATTCATAGGCATAACAGTAGTCCTCCAAGTCCGAGTCATGTTATTTATATACGGGTCGGACTTGAAATCTAAATTCTCAAGTAGGCGAGGTCTTACAGATTGCCTCAGTAAGATGAGTAGCTCCAATAAGCGAGGGCTTATGAATTGACTCGAAAATATGCATCGATCTCGAATAGGCGAGGACTTACGAATTGCCTCGAGAATTATGAATCGCTCCAATAAATGAGGACTTACGAACTGCCTCAGAAAATGTGTCAGAATAAGTGAGGACTTACGAATTGCCTCGAAAGATATACTGCGTATACTTTTTCAAAATTTCGACAGCATCTCCTCTGTAATATGGACTAAACCAATCCTGTAATACAATACAATATATCCACAGTACATATACCAAATAAATTTGGGGTCCATTTGCCCCTTTAAATGTTCATAAGGTGTAACATATCGCATTTCTCCAAAATATGTGCAGAGGGTCTGTCATGCATTATAATAAATCATATACTCGCACAGCTCAGTGTATCAGTAATGCTATAGTGAAGCAAGTAACATGATGTAGACAATAAAATGAAAATGATGATAATACGACATACGTACTAGCTATGATGAAAATAATGTATGACATGGTAGCAGTGATATGTCATGTCATTCATGCTTGGAAGCAGTAATGTGATGTGTATGCTAGCAGTAATATGCCCCCTAAGTCTGAGCCGAATATTTATATACGGGTCGGACTTGAAGTATAAGGCACTGATAAAGTTGATGTAGAGGCGAGGCTCTGAATGTAAGTAGCATAGGCGATAGGGACGATGCTCTGGATGCAGAGGCAATGCTCTGATTTGAATATAAGTAACTGTACTGATACTGAAGCATGCTGATGTATGTCAGCCGTTGACTTTTTAAGATCAGCTGAGTGTATGGTTGCTGCTACGATTGTAGGTTCAACTGTCTCTACCGAAGCACTAACTCATAGGATAATGCATAGGAGATGCTGAAGTTTGTGAATCTGATGGTTGGGACACATCTTCAATTGAGGCGCTAAAGCTTCAATGCTACTTGAGGAAGGAGCTCATCTGCCACCGGTGCGTCGACCTACAGGGGACGACGTGTTGGGAGACGGCTAAAGCTTTGTAAAGTTTAGGAGGAAACGCAACCACCGAGACGATAACCCACAGGGGACTCCGCGTCAGGTGCGTCTAAACTTTGTAAAACTGAGTGAGGAGCTCATCTGCCACCAATGTAATGATCCACAGGGGACGACGCGCTGAGAGATGGCTAAAGCTTTGTAAAGCTTAAGGGGGAACGCAGCGACTGAGGCGATGACCCACAGGGGACTCCGCCTCAAGTGTGTCTAAACTTCTTAAAGCTGAATGGGGAGCTCATCTGCGATCGATGTGGGAGATGGCTGAAGGTCAGTAAAGCTCAAGGGAGAACGCAACGATCGAGGCGATGATCCACAAAGGACTCTGCCTTAGGTGGGTTGAAGCTTTGTCAAGCTGTGGACAGCATCTGGTGAGGCGAGGGATACTCATCTTGTGGAGCCATGAATAAGCCTCTGATGAAATGTTAAACTATCAGAGTCTTATAAGCTGGCCTCGGGTAGACGAGGACTTAGAGCTAAGCTCAACAATAGTGAGGCAAGGAAAAGACATCTCACGAAGACGGCGAACATATGTCTGGCGAAGAGTCGAACTATCAGAGTCTTATAAGCTGGCCTCGGATAGACAAGGACTTAGAGCTAGGCTCAACGATAATGAGGCGGGGAATAAGCATCCCGCGAAGCCAAGGATAAACATCTGGCGAAGTGTCAAACGATCGGAGTCTTATAAGCTGGCCTTGGATAGACGAGGACTTAGAGCTAGGCTCGACGATAGTAAGGCGAGGAAAAGACATCCCACGAAGCGAGGGAGCATAGGTCTGGCAAAGAG